ATAAATAAAATCAGGGTTCAAAATGTGTGTGTTTCATATGGTATCACACGGATTATAATGTCTCTTCATGATGTCCTAAAACCACGTGTAAAATCATTAATATTTGTATCCATTTGTATCAGTCAGTGGTGTTCACAAAACTTCACCCCATCCTGTCCTTTTGCTTAGCAACGCTAGATCATGCTTCAACTTGTTGCCATGACTGCTGTTGCCTGGCAACAGAGGGGTAACCACGGACCGACTGAACCGACAGAGGGTTTGTCTTGATCACTTTCATAAACAATTCACATGTACAGACTTTCACACTCACAAACACATTCTCACACACACACACACACACACACACACACACACACACACACACACACACACACACACACACACACACACACACACACACACACACACACACACACACACACACACACACACACGTCGCTTTGAACAGACACCCAAATAAACAGCTCAGGAGGTAGCATCCCATCAGTGATGTCACTGTTGTCATGGAAACCTCAGAGCAGGGATTGTCTTTTTTCCCTCTCTCCCACTCGAGAAAACTCCTTGTTTCTTTCCTCTTTCTTTGCTCATCTCTGCCATCTCCCTCTCCTTCTGCACGACCATGTCTCCTCTATTGTTCCACGATGATTCAATTAACATGCAGGAAGGCAAATGGACAAAGACGTCCATGAAGACACACACACACACACACACACACACACACACACACACACACACACACACACACACACACACACACACACACACACACACACACACACACACACACACACACACACACACACACACACACACACACACACACACGATATGCACATACATTCACAAACCACAGCCCCTCCCTGTTTTTATGCTGCATCTTGCAGAGCCAGATTTCATAAGAGACCTAGATTTAGCGATGTCTCTGTCTCTTTCCAACACACACACACTTTCAGATTGCTGGGACTCAAAATGAGAAATGGGCAGTAAGGGAATACCACTCAAATAAAAAAAAATCTATTTATGTTTGAATATTTAAGCACAGGACAATCAATTCATTCTTTCAGTGAGGTTTCAGCCAAAGGAAGAAGCTTAAACACCTATCAGCATCCTCATGTAGTGCAATTGTGATACTTCCATTAAGATGTCTCCTCAGGGAGAAAGTTAAAATTCTCCACACAGAATTTCACAAACGATTCAGTCTGAGTGTAATGATATCACCCTTTAAATGTGTCCACTTTATATCTCTGTGTTGTTGTGCAACAGCGTGAAACGGTAGAACATGATGTTCTCCTCCTACATGTTAGCTGTTTCCAACCTTTTTTTTTAAATCTCATATATAACACTCCTGATCCTTCTGTAGGTGTATCAACAGAAAATGCACCTCACATGTGATGATAATGATAGGAACAAACATCCCTTATTTTTTTATTTCCTCTACAATGTGCTCCTGTTCCGCAGGTAGATTATTTTAGAGTAACACTCATTCACAGTTATTAATATGAACGTGTGTGTGTGTGTGTGTGTGTGTGTGTGTGTGTGTGTGTGTGTGTGTGTACGTGTACGTGTGTGTGTGTGTGTGTGTGTGTGTGTACGTGTACGTGTGTGTGTGTGTCAGTGCCAGGCCCAGCAGGCTTGGCCGGCTCATTAATGACTTTATCAAGCTGGCTGATAATTATCCGGCCAGAGGCCAGGCAGAGAGACACACTAAGTGGACAGAGAGGAGCAGAGCTGCAGAAACGTCATATCTCTTCTCATTGGACAGCAGGACGGACAGAAGGAAGGCTCTTATTGTCTCACTGAACCGTGAAGACCGAAACCTCCGTCCAGTTAATGGTGAACATGAATTAATCTTGCAGCCTGTTTTATGGCCAAGCTACTTGTCTTAAAGTATATGTACAGTGTTAAAAGGAATGGTGGTTTAAAAAAAAAAAAAAGCATCTACAAGAGCTTAATCAAAATTATGAATAATTGATGCAACAATTAACAAAAAAAATTAATCTGTGTAAATAATGTGTGCTTAAAGTGATATAAATATAGGACTTTGGAGATGAGATTTGTAAATATGATTGTTTACATTTAATTAATTGTTAAGTACAGAAATGCCCAAATGAATACAGAAAGGGGGCTATCACACGTTTGAGCCATTTTCAAGTGGTGTAAAACACCCACAAACTGTAGATGTTCACATTTGAAAAAAATAATAATAACCAGAGAAGTTGCCTTTTTTCTTGATTAAACAGCTTTAATGATTATGAATTTTCATAATCTTTGCGGATAAATCTTCTGTCTATTGAGTCATCCATTTATTATTAAGCTCTAGTATGAAGGTTTGTATTAACATAAACATAACAGAGGCCCAAACAAAGTCAAAACGAGTTATCTTAAAGAAGTTAACATATGGAAGTTGTGTACTTGTGCAGGACAACTTAGCTTCGTACAGCCTCAGTCTATACATGACAGCAGACTGAACCCAGACTTTGTATACAGCGGTTTTCCATACGTGATTTAAAGCATGACCTAAGGGGGGTTTTTCACATGAACAAAAGCCCTTGAGTTTAAAATGTCTTATCAGGGTGGTCTGTTACACCTTTTTATAACTGAAGAATAGTTTCACCTGTTTTCAAGCAAAAATATCACAAATATGCTAATTCCAACCTCTCCGATTGCTGATTTAAATCAGTTTAAATGTAATATATTTGGGTTTTTGGACTGTTGGGTGGAAAAACAAGACAATTAAATATGTCACCCTGAGCTCTGGGAGCCTCTGATGCACATTCTGTACTATTTTCTCACATATTACAAACTAATCAATTGAGCAAGCAATCAGCACATTAATAGGTAATGAACATAATTGAAATGTGCCATCCTATCATCCTCTATACTCTGTTTGACCTCTTCCTAAAGAAACACACATGATATCCTGGACCAAGAGCTTTCATGTGTAAGTCCAAATATAAAAGGGGATGTTTTGTGGCCTACTGTGTGTTTCAATAAGAGTGCAATTAGAAAGGGGAAAACACAGAAGAGACCGCAAGACGAGGAGAATGAGGAGAAAGAGGGAAGTGGCAGGTGTGTGTGTGTGTGTGTGTGTGTGTGTGTGTGTGTTAATAATGAGGCTTGTCAGGATAATAAACCCTGAGCTACACGATTATTACACCATCAGATATAATTTAGGCTATGTTGAAATGTAAATGTTATTTGTTTTAACTGCTCGTTCTCAAACCCTTCCATCATCATCATCATCATCACTATCAGCAGCATTATGATACATAGCCTATTTTAAATGCAACTGCGGTTCCTACTGATATTTTCTACTATCCGCGGGATGAAGAGGTCTCACCTACCTGATAAGATTCATTTACAGTGGAAATCAGCAACAGTTGACAGCAGACAGACAGTATATGGCTAAAGCCTGGACCCCGAACACCCGCCGCGGTGTGATCACTTGTGCTCGGATTGTAACGTGTAGCTAATGTAACGTGATGTAACACCGTTTCACCGGGGAACACGTCGTCGTCTTGTCCTCATCTCAAGCAGCAGCACCGAGAGGACGGATGCATCCTGACCCAGCTGCCTCAAGAGGCTCCCGGAAGTGTGGGCGTCGGGGATGGATGGTGTCTAAAGGGGGACAGCCGCTTTCCCTGCACGATGGTGGCGTAGATGTTGGTGGTCTCTCCCTGTCTCCCTCTCTCCCTCTCTCCCTCTCTCCCTCTCTCTCTGTGTGTGTGTGTCTCGGTGTTTCTCGCTCTGTCTCTCGCTCTGTCTCTCACTCTCTCTCTGCCTCCCCCAGCCGCCGGTTCACCTCATCACGACTCGGTGAGGAGGTTTTTCATCACTGAAGGCTGCCACATCATTTTCTGACGGACTGATTCATGGGGCTGAGGAAATGCTTGCCCATTTGTCCGTGCTCTCTCAGTTCATGGTACCGCCGCTAGGTGGCGATGCAGGCACGGAGTTGGTGATACATTGTGAGAAAATAAGACACCAACAATTTATACTACGAAAAACTGGAAAACGTACTATTAACATTGTATGTTTCCATAGCAACACACTGACTGTCCAACTGTGTAGTTTTAGATGGTAAAACACCAGAGAAAGGGCTCATGAGGTCCTTAAATTCCGCTACAACAACAATAAAAATAAATAAATAATGCTTATAAAAATAATAACATTATTAAAAATAATATTAATAATAATAATTAAGGAAATAATACCGATTCTTAAATAAAAGGTTTTACCATACAGTCTATGGGTTTTACCCATAATCAAAACACTTTAAACATGTTAGTATAATAATAATAATACAACAATTAAGGAAACTATAGCGATTCTTAAATCAAATGTTTGACACAGTAACTCTTTAAACTGTTATTATTTATCATTTTTTTAATAATAGGCCTACTAATAATAAAAGGGATAATGCATTCTCATCTTACACAGTATTTTTTTTATTTATGCAATAGCTTCTCATCTTAAATCTTATAATGTATGTTTTTTTCATGTATGATCTTTGCCTAATGATGCTTGCCTTTTTATTTTAAAGCACAGTGTGTCTGTCATATAAAACGCGCTCGGCTACATAAATAAATAAACATAACCCCTCATGATGTCATAGTGATGTCATCTGCACAAGACCTTTTTTTAACAGAACTAGCTGGAGATGTAGAGTAGTATTTGACAAATGCAGACTTTTACTAGGAAGTTATGCTCTATTTACAATCCCATACAAGTGATTTAAAGTGTTTTACTAAATCCTGTATTGTTCTGAGATTTTAACAGTTCTGCATCACATCGTCCCCATCAGCAGCATTTACTCTGTTCAAACTGCAGATGTTGAAACCTCCCATAATTATGTCAATTTTTGCAGCAAGAAATCAATCTTGAGATTGTTCTCTGCTGCATAATGAAGAATGTCCACTTCAACTTCTTCATGTTGTTAAAACCTCCACATTTCCAAATAGCTTATAAGCTATTACACACCTGTAATAAACCAAGCATTGTTGAGCACTGTAACAGCAATCATTTATTTAATGCATGTTATGACCAGCATAAGCTTTAACACATATTCATCGTGATTAATATAAAATTCCTGCTTAAAGCATTCAGCTCAGAGGAGCTCTCTCTGATCTTACTAATCTAACTCATTAAGTACTGCTTGCAGACCTGTGGTCAGTCCCTCTGCTTACAATGTTGAGTTCAACAAGCTCAGCAAAGAGCTTCAGAGGGATAACAAACACTGTTTGACACAAGTCTGATCGTTTAAATTGTATATAAAAAAATACCTGATTAATTAAGGCTAAGAAGCTTTGTGTATAAGGCAGCAGTTTTTCTTCATATCTCCAGAAGCTAATACACTTTGGGCGGAGTGACGTAAACTTCATTCAGACTATCTTTAAGTCCTTCATTGCAGACTCCAGCGACTGAAAGAAATATTCAAAAACAAAAGCCATGTATTATTATATTGTCTGCGAAAAGATGTCAACAGTATACCAAGCACATACACATTTGACCACATCAATGTATTCATGTGTGATCTTTAAAATATATGTGTGTGTTTTACCTTCACATCCCAGATGCCCATTCCCCCATCCATGCCAGTGGTGCAGAACTTGGCGCACTTGTTTCTTCCTCCTTCCAGCACCGAGATTTGGCTGAAACATAGTTTAAGACAAGTCATGAAATAATGTGTTGTGTATTTATATAACAAAAGGGAGTCATACTGTCAAATAATTTAACATCTCCTTGTGGAAAGACAAATATGTTATTTTGTTATTTTATTCCACAGGCATGAAAATGAAAAGTGATGTGTGAGTGGGTTCCCAAATTAAGAATTCTATATTCACCCTGACCTACTGTTAATGAGATGAAAATCATGCCATAATTTGCCATGAAGTGAAGTGAAATGCATTCATAAGTCATGTCTATTTGTGCTTCACAGATCTCATAATCAGATCTTATTTACCCTTGACTTATTATACACAATACACAAATAATTTGTAACAGCTTTGAAGACTGATCTGCCCTCCAGAGTCAAAACATGCATTTTGTTTCCCCCCTCACCTGATGCTGTTCTTGTGCAGGGTGTTCAGGTCCTTTTCGGTGCTCTGGGTCTCTGAGGCCCGACGGTCCAGGTTCTGGAAACGTTCCCTGGCACTGATGCCCTTCTGGGCCGCCTGCTTAGGAACGTCCAGTTTGCCACCAAAAGTCAAGCTGGCTTCGGCCCCGTCGTAGACAAACAGCACCGGGTAACAGTCGTGGCCCTGGGGAAACAAAAACACATGAAGATGAAGCTGGAAGAGGTTTTATTTTGATATAATATCTATACGGTATAACACAAGGTGTATTGCTCGTGATTTGTTGTCATTTCAGAGGTATAGTTAAAAAGCTCAAAGCGAATGAGTGTAAACATTTTTTTAATTATTTTGACCACATACATTTGTGTCCCCATCTGTAAGACTGTGTTTTTGTAATACTACCAGTGGGGGTCGCTAAAGTAAAGCTACTGTTCAGACACAGTGGACTTTAAAACAACACTTAAAAAAATAAATAACATGCATTCTATTACAAATAAAACGTTGCAATCACAATAAGTGGATTTTATTTGGCCTAATTCAATACACTCAGAGGTACTCTTGCTACTGACTTACTTGATATGGTATGAATGACCATTAGCTTGTGGTGGATAGCTAGCCTTAGTCATCATCATTTGGATATATAATGCTGCTGTATAACTGACATCACTGCTCTGTTCACAGAATTTTGTTACGGTAACACTGCATTCAAGCATGTAACAGATAAACCATGTTAATTATTTTATATAAAAAGATAAGTACAATACTGGGCATTATGAAGCGACGTGGTCTCGCTTCAAAGTACTATTTTCTAAAAAAGGGACTTTTGCCAATGGATATGATTTGAAAAAGTCCAAAAGTATTAGTAATTCTAAATCATTATTTCCCTTGTTGAATGGATATTTGAAAATGGTGCAGTTCAACAATAGGTTAGTCAGGCAAATAACTAAATGTGAGTAAAATAAAATAAAAACTGATTAACATTTGAATTTTTTCAGAAAATATTGGATATTTACTGTATACTCACAGCTGCTACTATGCTGTTCTCAGTGATGAAGGTGACACACAGCAGAGGAAGAGTCTCAGACCTCAGGCTGTTCACCCTGTGGAGGCATAACAAAGGTCAGAGTGCACACCTATAGAATAACACACACAGACACACACTCATAAAGACAGACACAGAGGTATGTAGCCCCGCCCTCTCTTACGTGCTGGTCTTGCCTCCCTCAGCGACAGACACAGTGGAGTCGTGCGAGGTCCAGGCCAGACGGTTGCCGGTGTGTGAGAAACACACACCGTGCACCCATCCTCCGGCTCCAGCCACGGTCTCACCGGCTGCTCCAGACTCGCTAGACTCAAACAACATCTCTCCGAACGGCATCTTGCTGCCCCAGGGAGTGGGGCCGGGCTTCTCCTCCACCTCTTTGATGTAGGCTGAAAACACCCTGTGGGCGAGGGCAAGAGGGGTGAGGGTGTGCATACGATTCAAAGAAGAGAAAGGGAGGCAAAAAGACAAAACTATGGATGTCTGCGCCTCCAATCAAGAGTTGGATGAGCAGAAAATGTAGACTTAAAAATGAAATAGGGGAAAAAAAAAAACTAAATGCATAAGAAGTTATTACACTTATTAAATAACAATATCCAAAATCTTAAACGATATCAAGTCTCATATCATGATATAAATAAGAGATCGATATATGCTCAACCAGAGTTACTCGTTATAAAGGTATGTAGTCTTTGAAATGTCCTCAAAAGTGTAGTGACAGATATTTGATTCACTGATACCTGCATTTGAAGTCGCAGCATCCAGCCGCCAGCAGGACGTTGTTGGGATGCCAGTCCAGGCTGAGGATGGTGGAGCGGATAGGCTTCTTGATGTGCTTACACACCCACCTATAAATAACAACAACAAGCATGTGGTTCATATTAATTAAATGCAGCCTACCATATAAATAAGTGGCAATGAGCTATCCTGTAAAACCTCACCAGTCATTTTCCTGCTCGAAGTAGCAGATGGAGATCAGGCGTGAGCCGCTGCCTACAGCAAACTTGTTCTCTTTTGGAGACCACTTCACACAGCGGGCAGCGCGGTTGATCCTGAGGATGACCAGGGTGGGCTTCCATGTGCCCTCTTTCAGGGTCCACACGTAGGCGTTACGGTCTGCTCCGCAAGTAACTATACGGTTACTCTCTGTGGCCCAGTCGATACCTGCAGGAGAAAGACGTTCTTATTGTCATCTTATCTCTGTGCATGTTTTATGATTTATAATTAAAGGACTAGTTCAAAATTGTGTGAAATATGCTTATTTGCTTTAAATCTGCTTCAAGTTGTACGAGACGGTTGCTCTCTCTTACTGTAGGCATTTTTGGTTAAAGGCCTGACAACATATCCAGTCCAATGATTATACGTCTCGGGGCACTAGGTCGCCTTTCACTCAAGAAAGCGATATTGCTTAAGCTAAAGGAGCAAAAAGCCAGTATTTGCTTCTTGTATCCTAAGTACCAATATTTTTGAGCATGCCTGTTTTTCCAAAATATTGATCTATTGTTGTTTAAATAGTACAATTTATTTATTAGATGTCACTGAACAGGAACGTTGGAATTTTAAACAGAAGTGTACAGGAAATGCAGCACTATGCATGGAAAAGGTTATTTATTTATTGAGCTATTCATATATCAAATCATTTTACAAAGTTTGGTGTGTTTATCTGAACGTCTCTTTGTGGAAAATGTATTTGTGATTGTGTCTCACCTGTCACCTGCCCATTGTGCTCCTTCAGCTCATGGATCCTGTTCCACTGGGTACCATCCTTCTTGTAGATGTGGACCTCGTGGTTGTTAGGGCACAAGGCGATTTCTATAGCACAAACATATATTTAAGTACAATGAACTTCAACAGAGAAAGTTCTGCAAGTCAGTGTTACACAGTAAAGGGAAATTAATCAGTGTGAGTAGAGAGTGATTGACGAGAGAAGTTTGAGAGGCTGATCAGTGGAGTGGAACACCAAACAGCTGACAGGATGCACGAGAAAAGAGAAAACTAGAGAGATACAATATGTATCTGCCTGCAGCACACAGGCACATGGTATCTTTAAATAGACAATGTGTGAGAACTGTAACCTTCCCCACATAATAATGTAGCAAACCCTGCACATGTTTTAGTCAGCAGATGAGTCAGAGGCAGTGTTTGTCCAAGAGCAGCAGTGTGGGTGCTTTAGTGTGCATTTTTGGCTTTTTCAAGTGTTCCGCCTGCAAGCTGAGCAAACTTAAATGTGCAGCTCACAAGTTGAGTGAAACTACATCTGCCTAGGACTCGACCACATTCGTCTGTAACATCCGCTTTGCCCAGAAACCAAAGCTCTGATCAAAACAGCCAAATAAGGCATTAGTTTCCTGCAGCTAACAGAGCACAAGAGCCTCTCAGAAAGGCCAGCAGACACCACCGTTACTGTTACAGGAAACAGGAAATACCTTCTCCCACCTGGGAGCCAATCACAGCCCTCCGACTCTTACACTTCTTGTTCTTTGGCACAGACTGTAGTTGAAGCAAGATGTTCCATGATGTCTGTGATTAAAGCTGTGAGCAGTTCAGAGAGGAGAAGACTCACTGAAATAAAAACCCCAGTGACCAATCAGAGACGGCGAGCAGACTTACGGGTACGATCTTTGTTCCAGGCATGGCAGCTAATTGGTTCCAGCAGGAAACTGTGGTACGCCATGGCCAATCAGATGTTAGAAACAAACCAGGAAGGGGTCTGAGGAACCAGTGGCTCGGAGAGAACAGTCAAGTCTAGAAAAACAGAAGTTAAAAAGTCTTTGTTAAAACAAAGAAGTGGTAAGGAGAAAAACACACAAATGATTGTACAATTAGGGACATCTACACACATATTCATCAAGATACAGACAAAGTTGGTTCAGACTATTTAAGGTGCTTTGAGAAGTAAAATAACATCAGCTGATCTTTAACCCTCTGTGCATAGAAAACAACACTGAACTTATCTCACTCAGGTTGGGTTAATGAAATCCAGACTCTCAGAGGCATGATAGGAATGATGCAGGTCAAGGGTAACACACAGCCCCAGAACAAACACTTTACAGCGAGCAAACACACCCAGGAAATGAAGACACGCAGCTCCATGAGAGCCGTTATAACTTTACTTGCCCTAATAAAAGACAACCTCTACACAATGACACCCACATTTATATTTCCTTATTGAGTGTGGTTAGAGTGCCTGTTGCATACTTTTAGCTATTCCCTTAAAAATGCATTAGACTCAGTGTGTGAATGTGTGTGTGTGTGTGTTACTGACATGTCTAAACATACTCAGTCAACTGTTAAATAGTTTCTAGGCTACTTACCCTGAGGGCTGGAGCGAGATGAATGGGTGAATAGCTGCTGTGATGGAGAGAGAGAGAGAAAGAAGGGAGAGGCAGAGGAAGGTGGTGGGATCAAACAAAGATGAGGGTGCTCAGCTCGCGGACTCTGGCCAGTCAACGCGAACGCCAACGACAGAGTGAGCTCAGGAAGAGAGAAGCAGAGCTGAAGAGGGAGGAGAGGTCAGAGGGGGAAGTGGAGGAGGGTACAGTGAAGCTCTGAAGTAGAGACATACAGGAAGTTTGCGCAGGCTTATGCTCGAGGCAGAAAAGATCATGGGTGTAACAGTTCAAAAATGTAAGCTAACTTTTAATTTGTAACTGATACAGAAAGAAAAAGGAGTATTTGTTCCAGTGAAACTAGGACGACAGGGAGGGGCATGAACACAATACAATGTTCTACAAAAAGGAGGAAGTAGAAACTGAAAAGGGAAAAAAAGCATGAAAGACACAAAAAAGAAGGGGGAGGGACTTATGATCACTTCTGCATAAAGAAAGAGGAACAAGTAGAAGGGGAGGGAGGAAAAGTAAACTGCAGACAGGGGTAGGAAACCGTGGCGACAGGAGAAAAGGTTGACTAGAATATATTTTCTCCTGTTTCTTCATGCATTTTGAGTTATAACAGTTCCCTAATCATGGCAGTTCCCAACTTCAACTTTTCATGCTTTATAAACAAAACCCCCCCAAAACTTTTAAGTTATAACTGAAAAAGGTTCAAACTAAATTATGGCATGTTTTTCTACAATACCTATTTTTTTAATTTGGGAACTATAAGCACAGTGGACCATTCTGTATAAAGAGGCAGACGCATTCATAATCCGGACACAAATATGGGAACTCTGGGGAAAACAACCCAAATGTATGACAAATCCACTGCTAACAGAACACAATTAGGTCAATAGGCGCTTTCACAAAGCACTTTTCCCACAAGGTTGAACCACAAAGGTTCATCAGAACTTAGTTCATCAGAACTCTTTAGTTCTGATGAACTAAGTACAGATCGCGTTCACACCGGAATAAGTCCCTGGGGGAGGATTAGGCAAATGAAGCCGCTGACGTCACTTCTTCTTCTTCTGCTTCTGCTTTGGGTTTACTGGCAGGCCGCAAACAACTTCACGGCGTATACTGCCACCCGAAGTCCCCGGCTGGAAGTCCCCGGAGTTGGGGACTGGCTTCAGTAGAAGCTATATCGGAACTAAAGTGGGAAAAGTACTGCGGTGTGAACGCGCCTAATAAAGAAACACAGGATTGCTATTTAACTGCTTTTAGTGCATGGTACACATGGCTTTTTATCTAATGTTTCTGGAACTAAAACCTCCTAGTTGAAAATCTAAATCTCTAAGTTACCAATTATAAAAACTGATATTCAAAGTTGTCCCCGCGTTAATAAATAGTTTTCTAGCAAACAAGAACAAATATGGAGTAAAATGTAAGAACATAAACACAACTAACTAGTATAGAAGATCCCCTCAAGGCATCTAGTCTGAGAGAAAAGACAAAGGAAGAGAAGAGTCGAGTTCTGTAAATTTACTTCATCTTTATTTCATGTCTACCTCATGATCAGTTACATAGAAATCCTCCATCTTGTGTGGTTTTAGTGAAGTAGCTACAGAGCCAAGTGCTGTTCGGCCGTGACTCCGCACAGAGTTTAGACAGCTGCTTTCTCTCTCCACCGTCAGACGCTGCACATCTCTCTACAGCCAACCTGCAACGTGACCTCAGAACATCAATAACCCGGGTCCTAATCTAAACAATGACTTCACCTGCTGGAGAATATTTACTCTCCTCCAGGAAGCAAATCATCACGTCCTCCGTTCTACTAAACATTGATGTTCAGAGATCACGTTGAGGTTGATCTGAGGTGAAATGCAGTCTGACTTTTGGATAAAACGCACCTTTTAGTGTCAACTTTTGGTACAGGAGGTTAGAGAACATAAAAACACACATTTCACTTCACGTTTGAATACGTGTCAGAGGACCTTCCCACTTTGACACCTGGTTAACCTTCATTTAAAAACAAACAAACAAAAAAATCAACAGTGATGTCACACGTCAGCTCAGTGTGTGTGTGTAGTGTATGCGTGTGTGTGTGTACTTAAGTGTGTGTGCGTGAGAGTGCTGGCACACCCAAAAAAGTGTGTTGTGTTCTGATCAGTGCTTTAGCAGACACTCGATTAGGGGGTCAGTTATTTGTGTTACTGGCTGCGTCGCAGGAGCGGCGGGGGAGGGGGGGGGGGGGGGGAATGAGGCCTGCTGCATTTTCTTCATTCATTTACAAGATTTCTTCACATGATGCGGAGACCCTGGATAGATGCTTCTAGACTCTGAGGAGGAAAACAAAAACCCACAAGGAAGTTAGAGCCAGGAGACCTCAGAGAAATGATCTGTGTAGAGGCGATTTGTGTGTTTATACCTTGATGTCCCAAATGGTCATTGCTCCATCGATGCCTGTGGTGCAGAACTTGCGACAATCCTTTTTGTCTCCTTCATAGATAGACACTTGGCTATGGACCAGACATGGAAATACATAAAGACAGTTTAATGGGAGTAAAGGCAAGGAATGTTTATTTATATAGCACCCTTCAACACAAGGTAAGTTAAAGTGCTTTACAAAAATGAGAAACTGAACGGAAATATAGAAATTATAACATACAGCAAATGATGATGGATTTTATTATACTGCCCTGACAACTTTAACGGTACTGATCCTAAATGGATCCTCAATGGACCTCTCATAAAGATATGAGATTGGGCGCTATGGTTCAAATCAGCCATAAAACTACAACATGCTGCTATTAGCACTGTTTTTATTTTTCAATTGGGTAAAAGCTTATGATTGCACATTACGACAATTTTAGAGCAAATAGTCATCTGCTTAAGATAAGGAAGGTAAGTTGCAAACTCCTAAACAAATGGTTACTTAAAAGGTAGGGTAGGTAAGAATGGAGAAACCAGCTTGAGTGCGCTAGAATTTGAAAGTACTGCCCCTTCCTTCAGACTTCCTTACAGAGCCCCTCCTCCAACACACACGGACGCGCACATGACCAATGAGGGCACGAGATAAGTTTGTGCACGAGATGGAAGGCTGACAGGCAGGTAGGCCATCCAGTTATTTTACATGTAATATATTCATTGCTATCGGGATGTTAAGAGCATTCCATGGAATATAACAAAAAGTGTTTCTGAAGTGAATTACCTACCCCACCAGTCATTAATAGGTGGCTGTGAAAATGAATAATATTAAAATATTGGATATAGAGATCCACTGAGCTTCCAATAGCATCTACTCCAGCCAATACTTTTGTTACATAACACAACATCTATTTAAGGTATTCAAATAACATCAGTAACAGGTTTATTTGGCACACTAAGCTAAAAGTAATACAATACAGCAGTCCTCAATAAACCCTCAATCGTGGTGACTTGTACTGCGTTATACAGAGAGGTGATTCTTATGTGTAGTTGACACTCATTAAGGAAACAAATCTTACAAACTCCTCTCAGTGGAGACTCCATATTTGAATTATTGAAAATTGGAAACATTCAAAACCCTTCCAAAGTTGTTTTAATGCCAACAACTCCAACATATGAATACACATTTGGTAAATTGCGTAAACTCTGAAAACCAAAACTATAAAACACAAAATCTAAACATGAAATTAAAACTGTTTTTTGTCCTATGATAAATTCCATACCCTGCCCTGCATCGTCTCTGGTGACTGTGACTCACGTGATGCTGTTCTGGTGCAGTGTGTCCAGCGCAGTGTTGCGGTCCTCGGTGGTGGCTCTCTTGTCCATGTTCCTGAAGCGCTCCATGGCGGAGATGTTCCTCTGGATGCTCTGCTTCGGGAGGTCGAGCTTCGACACAAATGTCAGCGCTGCACCATCGTCGCAACGGAACAGCATGGGGCAACAGTCGTGGCCCTGAACACGCAGACATTCATTTCAAATCATTATCCTTGATGACTGTTTATTTGTGCATGGAAATATGAAATGTGTCGTTTAATCTTACCGCAGCTACTAGACTGTTCTCTGAAACAAACATGACACTGAGGAGAGGAAGGAACTCCGTCTTCAGCTGTGAAGGACTGAACACACAAATGAATGATCAGCTTGAGAACAACTGGTTTTAATGTATCAGGGATTAAACATTTGGTACACTTTTTTGACCACATAAACCACAGTTTGCTTAATCTTCCAAACGGCTAGCCTGGATTAAACGGAATTTACAAAAACTCTATTCAACTTGTTTAAAAAGACATTTCTCTGTTGAATATATTTCAAAGGAACTTCACAATTCTGCTATTTCTTCATTCCTGTATGTTAATTCCCCTGTAAAACATTGATTTTATCTATTTTCTTTTTTTTAATATCTGTGTTTTTGTTAGATTTTTTAATGTCGTTTCAATCAGTAAACAACACATATATCTCATGCAGCACAAACTCTTTCAAAAGTGGTGTGTTATCCCAGAAATGACTGTTTTGTGTTGAAAAACCAAAAACCTGGGCTGTGTTCACTGTAGCGTTTTCTAGACTGAACCTGTTCATCTCAATTCATAACACCTGCAATTTGTTGGCAGCAGCTTGTGATTATGCAAGTGGATGTTTATCTTTCTCGCCCTGTTGGCAATGTGAGTAGATGATCTGATTACAAATGGTGGCGTGACGAAAAAAGAGAAGACACCAACATGTCGTCAAATAAATAACTAGTTAATGGCTTTTTTAAATAATATTTCGATTCAAAACTGATGATTTTAATGAAAGGAGTTAGTAACTGTTTGGACATTATGATTGTATCATCTTTTTCGTTTGCCGATGCAGTAAAAACAAAAAGATACTAGGTCAATTCTAAAACCTTAGAGCATTAGTAAACTTCACAGTCCCCCCTCATGTCTATCCTAACTTTGCAAATATATTTTGAGACAGGAAATTGAGAAAACAGATTTGTTTGGCCTAGAGGCGTTTTGGTGGGTAACAGCGAATGTAAACATCACATTTGTTTGTTTACTCCACAGGGCATGTTTAATCTAAGAAACCTGCTGGTTACAATCATAAACAAGAATGCTATTTGGGTAGAAATGAAAATACCTGGCAGTCTTAGAGCTGTCCACCACAGTGACAGTGCTGTCATGGCTGACCCAGGCCAGTCGGTTACCAGAGGCTGAGAAAGAGACTGAGTGGACCCAACCCCCTCCACCTAACAGGCACAAAGTGGAGAAAAGGGCAGATCTGGTTTAGTTCAAAGGGTTACTGCAACTCATAGGA